AAAAAAAAAAAAAAAAAAAAAAAAAAAAAAAAAAACACATTTAAAAGAGTACTCACCACTGAATTATTTCTGTGATTTGGGCTTCCCAATGTGCAACAGATTCTTTCTTATCAGCTATATCCTTTACCTCTTCTTCTAACTGCTGGTTGTGCATACTTAAGTTTTCATACAAAGTGGTAAGCTGAAAGACATAACATTTAGGATCAGGACTTCAGGTGTTCAGATACATAACTTACAATCTTCCACTCAAACTCTTACCTTTTTATTATAATATACCCTCCTGGCCACTAACTTTGGTAATTACAAGTACCCTGCATTCTCTTCCTTCTTTTGTTTTCCCCACACCCTACAATACCTGGGTTCTAACTATAAACATTCTCCATTTGCCTGAAGAATTATCCAACTCTGCTGTAGCACCACCCCCACTCTCCTTTTCTGCAAATATCTTTATGTCTTCTTTTTAAAAGAAAATTATTGAGAATTTCAAAAATGGACAGTTTAAGTGAATTCCACTACCCTCTACTCAACTTCACCATTTACTGCCAAAACAACAATCTCATTGTATTTCGCTCTGATCCTCATATACTTCCTCTAGTATTATTCTGAAAAAAAAAAATCAGAAATAATAGTTTTATTCATATATATTTCTGTATACAGTATATCTCTAAAAATTGAGGCTCTCTCTTTTTAAATATATTACTTAAACTTCACAAGGCCATCACACAGGCATTAACTTTTCAAGTTTCCAACATGCTAAAAAACCCTCAATTTTGTTTATCTGAATCATGGTATCAATATGTAAATGCAATTAATGGTTTGGTATATCTTTTAAGTCTTTTATTTTTAGGTTTCTCTATTTTCTTACAGTTTATGTATTAATACAGTTAAGTTATCCACTACAGCTTTCCACATTCTGATTTTTGCCTTCATTTTTGAATATTTTTGTTTTACTTAACATTGTAAATGGCAATTTTTAAAATTTCAGTGTTTGAAAGATGCCATTCCTTTTTCTTCTGAATTCCTTTTTTTCCCACTCTATTGACAATACAACTTTTAGTCTATTTTTTTACTCTGAAAATAATGTGTCTTTTTTATATGGCTGCTTTTAGGATTTTATGTTGGTTACTGCTTTTTGAACTCTTCTACGATCTAAGTGATGTCTGATTTCTATTTTGCACTTTTAGGGTTTGTGGCTTTTCTTGAATTTGTGTCAAAATATTTCTTATGGGATTTGGAAAACCCAAATATTTGTCATGGGCACTAACTTTTCAAACACTGCTTCTGCTTCAGCTTGACCTCCTCTTCTGGGAAATTAAATATTCATATTACTTTCTCTACATTGAATACTCTCTTTTCTGTATTTTCTCTTTTTTTCAATACCTGTATATAATTTATTCTGAATCCCACCTCCCTTTCTTCTGTTTCTTCTTTCTCTTTGGCTCTTCCCAATGTGCTGTTAAACTTCCTACTGAGTATTTTAGTTATTTTTTCATTTAATAAGTTATATTGAATATATAACAGTTATTTCATAAGTCTATTTATAAAGATTCTACGCTGGGAAACCTACAGCTCTCTTTGTACTTACTACCTAGTTTTCTCTTTCATTTTTCAATTTTCTTTCCTGTTACAACCTCCCCTCTACCCTCATTTTAAAATATTTATTTGTATTTGCTAGTGTGCCTGTTATGTTTTATTACATTCCCCATAGTACCTGCGTGTTATTTTTAACATATTTCACTTTTCCTAGTAAATGTTCTCCATTTGCCATGAGGTATTACTGTTCCTTTCTTCCTTATCAGTATGCTTTTAGAAGTACAAGCTAGTCTCTTTCTGATTACTCAACTCTGAAAGAGGTGAGGCTTTTTGAGCAGAAACTTTTTTAGGGATGAGATGGCCATGTGTCATCCTGACTGAGCCACAAGGTGCCCAGATATTTGGTCACCCATTTTCTTGATATATGTGAGGATATCTGTGGATGAAATCAACATTTGAATCAGTAAACTAAGAAGACCATCCTTCCCAATAGGAGTGGGCCTCATCAAATCAACCAAAAGTCGGAAGAGAAAAAAAAACCGCACTATAGTTGAGAAAGTTTCTGCTAAAGTCCTTTCAAGCTGACACTAGTTTTTCTTGCCTTCAGATTTTTTTACCCCCTGCCTTCAGACTTGAAGCAAAAACAGCAGAAGGTTTTCTTGGTTCTTGAGCCTGCCAACTTCTGGACTGGAACTATGCCACTGGCTTTCCTAGGTCTCTAGCTTGGGACTTGCCAGGCTCCAAAATCACTTGAGTCTATTTCTAATCAATCAACCACCAATTAATTAATTAATCTCTCTCTACACATACACAGACATACACACACAGAGACAGGAGTTCTGTTTTCTGGAGAATCTTAACCAGCACAGTCCCAAATTATGTCCTAATTGAAAAAAATCTGCAAAGTTTTCTAGTTAAGAATTAGTAAATTTTTCACCAGTAAGAGTTACATAGTCTTTAATAATGAATTTAAAATGCAAAGATTATTGTTAGTGTGTGGGTCATACAAAATCACTCTAGGGCCAGATTTGGCCAGAGTTTGTGAAATCCCCTTTCTACTTTACCAGGAATTCTCCTAATGACTCATGTTTCTTCATGTTTGTCTTTAACTTGTACTTCTGTGTAGAAATAGAGTCAGGGCATATGTCACAATGCAAAGTTTCATTTCTTCCCCTCTGCCAAAGGGACAAATTACTTAATGCATATATAGTTTATTTATAATTCTCTGCTTAATTCTACCTCCAACCTCTTTGTCTTCTCTAAGGAAATGGGTCTATAGCAACTATGATTACCAGCACAAACCCTGATGTGGCTATTATAAACAAGGCTATTTAATACTGTATCTCAGGGTGTGCATTTCAGCTCTGAAAATGTAACTTACCAGCTATTCCTTCACAGTTTTACTGAGATATAATTTACTTAACACAAAATTCACCCATTATAAGGGGGACATTTCAATGATTTCTGGAAAATATAAACAGCTGCAAAACTGCTACATTCCAGTTTTGAAATACTTCCAATATCTGAGAAATTTTGCCTATCCTTGCTGTAGTTGTTCCTGACTCCCACCCTGTATATATCTTTTCATTTTCTTCATGTTGTTTTCAAGGTTTCTGGTTTGTTTACTACAGAACTGACCTTTAAACTAAGCTACATCCAGTCTTTTTTAATTTTAATTTTGAAACATTCAATAAGTTGTGCAGGCTGGTCTTGACTTCTGATCTCACAATGCTGTTTTCAAGTTTTGATGAAACTCAATATATCATTAATTCCTCTCATATACTGTAATTTTATGGTATCCTTTAACCCCAAATCAGAGATTACTCTCCTATGTATATCTTACATGTCAGTTTATGACCCATTTTGAGCTAAGTTTTGTATAAGTTCATGTTCTTGTGGACACAGATATTCAGATGTTCCAATAACATAAGAAAAGATTATTTCCCATTAAATTGAGAATTTAAGCTTCCCATAAAAGTGAGGGCTTATTTTTGGACTCTATTCTGTTCCATCATGCCAATACTACTATACTTTTGTTATTATTATGTAGTATATTTATACTATTAAAATTAAATAGTACAAATCGCCTGACTTATAGGTTTTTCTCAAAAAATATTTTGCCTATTCTAGGTCTTTTGTAATCCCATATACATTTAAGGACAACTTCACCAATTATAATAAAAAACTATACCAGATTTTGAAAGGGATGACCCTGAACCTACAGGTCAATGTGAGGAGAATTGTTATCTATTAAATCACAACACAGTTTTAACTGAAAGACTTTAAAAAAACTGCTCTCTAAACACGTATTTTTGGTACACTCAGCAGAACTTTATGGCAAATAATGAAACTAAACCAAATGTTAGATTGACATATACTCACTTCAATTATTTTTCAATAGAAAATTCCTTAAACTGTAATAATGTTTTACTATGTGATTGCTTAGCAATTCTACATTAAGTTCCTTCTACAGTTTAATCATATATATACATATATAAACACACACAAACACACACACACACACACACACACACACACACACACAGAGTAAATATACATTTTTTCCCTTAAGGTGACTCTTAAGGAAATCTTTAGATTTACAAATAGAAATGATATTAAACTATGCAATTACATTAGTCAAGTATATTAAATGACAATTATGTGACTTACTTGGATAAAATTCAGATAATGTTTAAGAATTATACAATAAAGTTCAACACTAAATTTTTAAAACTTTATGCTATTTACTATTCAGCCTCTTTATGTATATTAGCTTTCTAAGACTCAACAAAATGAACAGTACTGTTTTACAAATAATTTTTAACAAAACAAGCAAAATCATTTTTAAATGCTTAGAAAATAAGGAAGGTTATTTTTAAATGCTTAATTAGTATTTTTATTTATTTAAACAAAATTCTGAGACACAGGTCTCATTATGCATCCCCACTGACCATGAACTGTGAAGCCCAGGTTAGCTTTAAACTTGTGATTTTTCTGCCTCAGCCTCTCAACTGTCGGGTTTGCAGGTATGCACCATCATGCCTGTCTGTATAACATTTCTGAATGCTAAATACTTATGGAGAATGTACTGAAAGAGAGCTATGTGAAAATAATAGAAAACTGAGAAAGAATGCAAAGTCTGTGTTCTTACTATTTAATCATAGCAGTTCAATCTATTATCAGAATAACTAATAAGTGAACATACTACTACTTTTATTGAAGGAAAATCCAGAAATCATTCTAAAACATAATCAGGTATCCTGATTTAATATAAACAGAACTATTCAAACTTCTGGTTAATATTAGGATTTTTAGAATTATTTGTTGGGAAGTGATACAAGAAACATAGAACAGTAGCCACTTGAGAAATCTTGAGATACTAACAGAATAAAACTCCTTTAAGCAAATTAAATTTGTTCATAAATATGGCTACTTCTAAGTTTAATACATGGTTCTGATCTTCAAGCCTAGGCAGGGCTGGTTTCTTTGGATTATAATTTATGACTTATCTACCTTTGGTATAATTTCTAGCTATGATCAGTTCTCTATTGTAAATATGAAATCAAGCTGTTTTAATTTTTCAGGGTTTGAGCTAATTGTCCCAGTACTCACCAAAGATCAGTCTATATTCAACCTGAACTTAGCCAGCCATCAACTTAGTCAGCAATGATAGGGGAAGTGATGAATAAGAGAAAAGAGAGGAAAATAGAAAAGAGATGGAAAGTAAAATAAAAAATACAGAGTAGAGCTACTGGCTAGTGGCTCAGTGGTTCCACTGCCTGCCTCATAAGTGCAAGGTCCTAGGTTTGATCCCTGGTACCAAAAAAAAAAAAAAAAAAAAAAAAAAAAAAAAAAAAAAAAAAAAAAAACAAAAAAAAAAAGGAAAAAAAAAAAAAAAAAAAAAAAAAAAAGAAAGAAAAGAATAAAGAATAGAAGCTCAAAAATAAATGGGACAAAGAATAAAATAAGGAAATAAGCAAAACTTACTCTCCAGATGACTACTGTCACAGATGTGTGTAACAAAAAAATTTCTTGTATCATACAAGCACTCATAGCTTATACAGAGGACTTTTAAACCAAAAATGTACAAAATATACAAGAGCATATTCACAATTTCTTCCAGTGTATTGAACATCTAGTGTGTGCTCAATTAGTACAAGTGACACTAAATCACTCACCTTATCAAGTTCACTTGTCAATTTTTTATTTTCTTCAGTTAATAACACTTTTTCTCGCTCATATTGCTGTTTGAACTCATTTTCAAATTCTTCTCTTTCACTTTGACTAATTCAAAACATGAAAGGAAAAAAAAAAGAAATTTCAACTGAAAATGTAATTTTTGTAATAGTTATAAATACATAAATATTAGTTTGTATATAAAAATTGTTCACATAGAACTCATCATGATTGTATGCAATGATAGGCCTGATAAGTTATTTTGAAGACTCTTCAGTACAATAATACTGACTAGTTTTTTCATTCATTTAACAAGGATTTACAGAGTACCTACAGGGTGCCAAGGAATTGTTATGGACTCGACAGATTGGCCCTGCTTTCTCAGAGCTTATATTCTAGTTAAGGGTGTGACAGGCAATGAAAAGTGAATAATGAACTAATTTCAGATTAGTTCTATATAGAAAAATAAAATATAGCAATGCTATAAATGCTATCTGGGATAAGTGGCTAATTTAGATTGTAAATCAGGTTTTATGAAAGTTAATGAAATAAACTAAAAAAAAAAAATGAAACCAGTAATTACCAACTGCTTCATATTCATTAAGTTTAATCCAAAGACAAACTTTTCTGAGACATTAGTTTTCTTTATACATCTATACTATAATATTCTTAGAAAACACAAAGTCTTGAGTCCTTAAGATTGGGCTATTCACTTATTAATTTTACTGATTTCATTCAGAATAGTATTCCACATTTTTTAATATTTAGAAATTAATTTATAATTTTATAGAAAATTTACAATGGTATAAAGAATTCCAGCATCCTCTTCACTCAGATTCCCCAACTGTTACCATTTTACTTCATTTGCTCCCTTATTCTTCAGAACTATTGGGAGGCAGCTGCTGATATTATACTTCTTACTTCTAAATACTGTTATTTCTCAAAGTCAAGGATACTCTGATAACCACTAAGCAACCCTCCAAATCCACAGAACCAATCAAGTTTTCCCAACCATCCAATACCATCTCCTTTTCTACTGCTGTACTGGGTCCTGGAAGCTTGGACTCAACAACAGCCTAAAATCAATGAGGTTGCAACTTCTCCAGTATAGAGTCTACTGGCTAAGGGTGGGTGAAAATGTTAGAGGGATCTATTACATGTGAACTGCTTAGTCAGCCCTGAGGCCAATCTTGACAACAGCCAGAGAACTCTACCTTCACCAAGGCATTAATAAATACATTAGAAAGAGGGAAGACTAGCATTCTGAAAATGCACTGTGGTAGTACACCTCTGTGTCTGCAGGAGATACTAGAAAATGTAATAAAGGAAGCAAGTTTACTGAAAATAACTGTATTGCAAATTGGCTATCATATCAACTACTTTACTTACCTATATCTTGAGGGTTCATGTGATTTTAGTCAATAGACTTGTCTGCTTAATAACATCCACTCATTTTTCATTTGAACATCTAAGGGAAATTCTTGTGACTACAGACAACCTGACCATGGTCACCTTATCTGATTATGCATATAGTAAGTATGGGGAAAGGAGGAAGTTGGGGTAGGAGGAGAAAGTAGCACTATATATGATTCCTTGCTCTCGGCTCACAGAAAATTCACAGTGAAATTCCCTCAATTCTCTCAGTCCTTCTCCTTATTACATACAAACACACACAACAAATTTAATACTTTAAAATTTATAAACATGATAGCTCTGGAGATAAAACTGATTCAATACTATGTTTAGAAGTGAATACAGTTCTAACAGAATTTTAAATGCCTCCTTGGCAAAAAACAGGAATCAGTTTTGAAGACTGCATTGTCACATAGACAAAGAGGCGTATGGCTATGGTGGTTTGATGTAGGATGTTAGCAACAAATAAAATTCAATGTGGATCAATACAGCTAATTTCATGATTGTTGCCAAGTGAATAAAGAGCATAAGTAATGGGTGATCTTAAAAATTCCTTATATAACCAAATCACTGAACATATATTCTAATTTAACTTATAAATTCAAGGACAAGAAATCATCCTGTCTCCAGGCAAATATGTCACTTAAGTGTTAAATTCAGTTATGTTTAGGAATATTTACCTAACAGAGAAATAACTTCAAAACAACAACAAAATTGCACGTAAGTTTTTCAGAAAAATATGTACATGAATAAACTCAGTAAAATTTTGGTATAAAATCATTCTTGATTTCTCCTCATAGCATTAAATAAGTTCAGGTTTGTCTCCCCATCTTTAAAATAAATAAACACTCCCATATACTATGTCACGCTTCATTTCCCACTTGCCTTATTGTCTTGGTCTCTGGCAAATATCCTGAAATACTTTGCTGTACTCTTTTTCATCATGTAACTACTGTCCACAACATCAGTCTCTGTCATCTGCTTCCACCGTCCACCAGACCTACTCTTGATGGAACTCACCACTGACTACTGTTACCCACCCAATCTTTCTTGGGAAGTGTGGTCCATTCTCCCTGTCATGAACTGCTGTGTTTTCTCAGCTTTGGTGAAAACCCACTCTCCAAATTGCAGCCACAGTCTCTGGTTTCTCAGCTGTCTTTGTCCACTCCTCTCCTTCCATCTTTCCTATAGGAACAGCGCTCCGTGGGACTCAGCCCAGTGCTGTCTATTCTCTTTATAGGAGGCTAGAGAGCACCTGGTTTCGATAAGGATCTGCGCTGACCCCTGATTTTCAATCTGCATCTGACACCTGAACTGTAAACCAACTGACCAAGCACCTCACATTCAACACACTAGCTCAACATGAAAACCCAACACATAGACAAGATCCTACCCGATTATACCTCTATCTATGCCCATATACTCCAATTCCTCTTCTATCACTACAGGTAAAAAACAAAACCTTTATATTAAATTGTCCCCTTAATACTTCATAGCCATTTCCTGCTTACTTTTCATTCTTAGCATTTATCATTATTTAATATGTTCTATAATTTACTTTATTGTCTTTCAACTATACTATAGGAAAGCTCCATGAGGTGAGGGATTTGAGGGTCTGTTTGTTCACTGCTATATTTACAACAGTATTTAGCACACAGTAGATTCTAAAATAATTTTGGGGGGTGAATGAATGCACCAAACTGAATAAACTGAAGTTTCTGATATTAAGTTGAAAAAGACAGCAACGTACACTTAGTTGCCTAAAATCTAGGTACATTAAGTATTACTAATAATTTTTCCTGCTCCTTTATTTCTCATAGCTGATTATTATGTCCTGCAGGTTTTGTCTTATCAGTAGGCCTTCTGAATCCATGCCACTCTCTCCAATTTTGCCATTACCACCTAAAGACCATGAGCTCATCTCTCATAGCTGGATTCCTACCTTCTGTCTGCTCCTTTTAAGCAAATCACAGAGTAGCAAGAGTGATCATTCAGAAATATAAAGATAATCATGTCACTTTCTTCACTGGCCTTAGAATAAAGCACAAACGCCTTGCATTAATTCGTGATCTTGTCTCTACTTTCCTTTCTAGCCTTGTTTTTTACAACTTTCACTTACTTATACTTCCATCAGTTTTTTTTTCTGAATGTGCTGTTTGTCTTTTCTGTAAATCTTAGCATGTACTGCTATCTTTCACTAGACACTCTTTATCCTTTCTTACTTTTTAAGCCTTAGCTTAGACACTGTTTTGTCCAAAAAGCCTGGATGTACCAGGTCCTTTCTGTACCTCTCCATGTGTATTCACATACTGGTGACATTTGCTTTTCCGTCACACTATGCATGTTGCATACTATGACTTTCTAAGAATTCTGACTTTAGACTCCTTGAGAACTGAGATATGTTTATTGCATACATATCTACAGAATTCGACACATAATAGATACTTAATAAGTATTTGTTTGTTGAGTAAATAACTTGATTCTTACCTTTCTCTCCTGGTTTTTTCCAATTTATCTTTTAAAACCATAATTTCTTTGTTGAGAGCCAGGTGCTGGCCTTCTGAATCATGTAGTTCTTTCTTCAGATTTTTAATCTCACTTGCATGTATTCCCTCTCTTTTAGATAATTCTTCTTCATAAAAGATACTTTTCTTTTCCAAATCAGTCTTCAGTTTGGTTATCTCTTGCTGGTGTTCTATGCTGCATACTCCTGGTGAATAACTAATTTGTTTTTGCTACAGAAATAATAACACAAGATTGGTTCATCTGTAAGAAAAATAACCCCTTTCTATACAAGACTACACATGGAACTGCACTTCATTTTGTATATTCTCACACAAAAAAATACTATTTATTTAAGGTAATTAGTTATCTGAAATATGTTGTGAATATTTTCCTCAGTTTATAATCCTTTATGGGCTGTGTCTTTTTTCCCCTCATTAAGTTTATTGGTACATTTAAAGCAAAAAATAGTTACATTTATCACAGGGATCTTGTACTTTTACATGATATGTCTTGGTTTTTATTTTTTCCCCATATGCCTGCCCTCCCTTCATCCCCTTAACTCTTCACTATTTACAAAGATTTTGTTTCCATTTTTTCACATTTTTCTTTTCCCTTATTTCCTTTTGTGTATTTTTATTTTTAAGTCTTTAAACCAAGATTGTTTTTTTGCAGACAAAGTATTGCTAAATTGCCTTCCCAGGCTGGCCTTGAATTAGATCTCAAAGTGAGCACTGGGTTTACAAGATGTACCACCATTTATCTGAACAATTTTATTTTTATTTATCTGAACAACTTTCTGCTGACACATATAACTTCTTGCTTTACATTTTACATATCAACTTAAGAGTTACTGTTAGTATATGGAGTTAGAAAAAACAAAACTATCTTATATCCCATTAAGAACTGTCAGAAAGCTTTTAAAGCACATTTCTGTTTTCAAAAGATTAAAATGGCAGATAATGTACAAAAAGAAAAGAAAGGGTTTTTTGCAATAGTCCAGGAAAATGACAAATGTCTGCTACTGCTGCAAAGGTAAACTGAAACACACAGACCCGTGATTATGACAGAAAGATTTCCTGAGCCTAGTAACTTACAAAGGTCATTTAAGTGGTTCTAACCTGTTTGTCCAAGTGAACAACAATAAAACTTTTGAAACTAAAAATGACTAGAGGTTTAGGTTTATTGACAAGTAACTAAGAGCTGGAGCATACCATGTCCTTCCCGAAGCTAGGCATAAAGGCAGAAAAATTGGCAAGGTAGTTGATTTAAAGTTGGAAGAAAAATGTCCTGTCTCTTTACAACTGAGGTATATAATTTTTAAAAAGTAAAGGAATTGATATGGGCCAGCAAAAAGTGCTCTGGTTGGGGAAGACGGGAAGGTGTGGTAACCTTTTGTAATATTCAACCATTTATTAAGAAAGTATTTTAGTCAAACACTTAGCCACCTCATCTATAACTAAGGAGCCAAATACCCTCATTACAGGAAAGACAGCCTCCTTAATAAATGGTGCTGGAAAAACTGGGTTTCAACTTGGCAGAGATTAAAACTAGAACTATATCTTTCACCATGCACTAAACTAAATGGATCACACTGAAACGGATCAAAGACCTAACTATTAAAAAAGAAACACTAAACTGGCTGGAAGAGAGATAAGGTAGAAGTTTTGAAGACACTGGCATAGGAAAAGATTTCATGAACAAAACCTCAGTTGCACAGAAACTAGCACAAAGAACTAACAAGTCGGATCTCTTCTTATTAAAAAGCTTCTGCACAGCAAGAGAAACCACCAACAGCATGAAGAGACATTCCACAATATGGGAAAAAAATTTTACCAGCTGTTCCTCAGACAATGGTCTACTATCTAGAATATATAAATAAATTACAAAAATCATACCTCCCAAAATTTAAAGACCCAATCCAAAAATGGGCAGGCAACTGAAATGAACAGACATTTGTCAGACAAAGTAGAAAGAGCAAATAAACACATGAAAAAAATGTTCAACATCATTGGTCATTTAAGAGATGCGAATGAAAACAATACTGAGATTCCACCTCACCCCAGAAAGAATGGCTGCTATCATGAAACCAACCAATAACAAATGCTGGCAGGGTTGTGGGGAGAAAGGAACCCTTTTCCACTCGTGGTAGGAGTGTAGACTGGTGCAACCACTGTGGAAATCAGAGAACTAGAATTAGAGATCCCATTTGACCCAGCAATTCCCCTGTTGGGTATCTTCCCGAAAGAATTAAAATAATCATACCACAGCAATATATGTGCACCCATGTTTATAAGCAGCACAGTTTGTAATGGCTAAAACTTGGAAACAGTCCTGTTGCCCATCAACTGGAGACTGGGTAAAGAAAATGTGCTTTAAAAAAATAAAGTGGAATACTTCTCATTCTATAAAGAATGAGAAATTAAGAGACAGTCATAGCTAAATGGAAGCATATTGAGGTAATACTCTTAAGTGAATAGGACACACACAAGTAAAATACTGAATAGTTTCTCTGGTGTGAGAAATTGAAAGTGTAAATAAATAGATAATGTGAAATAGGAAGAAAAGATCCAAAGGAGGAGAGGAAATGAGAGGGATACAGGAAAGGAAAGAAGGGAATGGAATTAACATGAGAAAATGAAAAAATGGGGAGGGGATACTTAGGCTTGGTGGCACATGCCTATAATCCCTGGCTGAGGCAGGAGGATCACAAAATCAGCCTGAACAAATTAGTAAAACTAAGTCTGTCTGTCTGTCTGTCTGTCTGTCTGTCTCTCTCTCTCTCTCTCTCTCTCTATATATATATATATATATATACATATACATACATACATACATATATATAAATGTGTGTGTGTGTGTTAGATGCACAGCTGAGGGTGCAGCTCAGTGTGAAGGCCCTAGGGTCAATCCCCAGTATCATAAAGACAATACAAGACAAGACAAGACAAGACAAGACGTATGTGCTAGGTCCAGATTCTTCAATGGTTTCTGAAGTGGCCTAGCACGCAAAACTACTCCAACTTAGAGCCAGAGCAAGTCAGATTTTTGCTCCTATGCATCTCTGTGAAAGTGGTGCCTAAATCAGTAACTGTGGCACTGACTCAGCTTTCTAATTCCTGAGAAACATTTTAACTTTGCTGTTCTGTGCGGTTGGCTGTTAGGTTGGCAAAAGAACGTGTAAGAATTTTCAAAGAAAAATTCTCCTTAAAAAAAAAAACTAACAAAGATACCACCAGCTAAAGTTTAAAGTTGTATATCACTGATTAGTAATACAGTAAAAAGCTGAATAAAATACTGAAAAATGTAAAAGAAACTAAAACAAAATAATAGCTTTTATTATAGGTAAATTAAGAAGGTAATTTAATGTTAGTAAACTTATTGATAAATGCATTAATTTTATAGATTAAATTTAAAAATCCAAATGATTTTCTTAGTAGTTACCATTGTCTGAAAGTATCTGACAAACTTTGATAATAATTGCAAATACTATTCCAAATCTCATGATAAAACCATATGTAAAGGAGTTCAGTAAATCTAATTTTAAAAAGTATCCGTGCTGAATCAGACAAAATACTGGTGAAATATCAAAAGTACATCCAATAAACTTAGAAATAATGTCAACAGAAGAATGTCTTTCATTATTATTCTTGTATAATATTAATTTTAGATCTCCTATCTAATCAATAAATGAAACTGTGACCAGAAATTGGTATTGTAAAAAGCATTGTAAAAACAATAAAATAATTTCCATACATATGAATATAATAAACAATAGAACAAAGTTCAATAAAATAGCACATAAGTAAACAGTCAGCAATACTTCTAAATATTAAAATAAGCATTAAGAGAATAAATAAAATTTCATTAACAGTAGAATCAATTAAAATGCACATACATATGGAACAACAGAAATTTCTGATTATATTAAAAAACTATTAGGTCTTTATGAAAGACATAACAGACTGAAACAAAATAGAAAAATACCAAGTTCTTGAAAGAGAAGATCAAAATATTCAATATTTTTCAAATTTTCTTCTATGTAATTCTAATAAAAAGTTCTTTTGGGGGGCTGGGGAATTCAGCTGAGTGGCACCACGACTGCCAAGTGCACAGTCCTGTAGTCAATGCAGGGGTGGAGGTGGGGAGTTCTTTTTCAATATGGAAAGAACGCTGGGGAATAACAGAGGATGGCAACAAATGTTTCTCATTGGTGGACAAGAATAAATTATTAAAAATACCAAAGACAATCCTAAAAAAGGAAAAAGGATATTCTTCTCAGAAGTAAAAATCTATAAGCCATTAATAAAGTATAACAGTAATAGGTTGCCACCAAAATAATTTAATATATGCATAAAATATTTTAATTACTTAGGAAGGTAACGATTAATAAATGGAACTAAAATCACCTGCTAACAATAAAAGAACAAAACATCTTGTTTCATAACATTTAGCAAAACAAATTTTAAATACATCAGTGTTAAAATATTTGAAGATCCCATGGAACAACATTGAAAGGAAAGTAAAATTAAACATTTATAAAAACTCTAGAAAGAAGGACAAGCTAAGCTTTGAAGCAATACTAGAAATGCTGATGACAATGTAAGAAAATGTAAAATTTTTACTATGCAAAGAGTTTATATTAACTGATAAGGAAAAACATTAGGACTACAAAATTAAATGGGCCAAAAACACAACTAAAACTTCCACAAAGAAAGGGCACGATTAATAATCCATTATAAACAAAGAAATGGGAAAAAAATCACAATTTTTTTGGCCTCTCATATTTACAAAAATTTGTGGTATTTATAAAATGCCTAAAGATGATCTGTTAATTTCTCTGTTCATTTTTAGGTATCACTTAAACATAATACAAAAAAGCAGTAGATAAAGGTGTTCCTGGCAATTATACTATCAAAGTAAAAACAAGATAAAAACAGAATTATAAAGAACTGGCTATGTGGTTGACTGTTGAACTATTTGTAGTAACTGAAATTATGTTTGTGAAGATCTTTTAATAAGTAAAAAAAGTACAACAGTACACTGTTGAGTGAAAAATACAAATGTTGTATGCTGAACTGTCTCCCCAAACTTCGTATGTTGAAGACATAACCACTAGTATCTCAAAATGTGACTTCATTTAAAAATAGAGCCTTTGCCGGGGATTTAGCTCAGTGGTTCCGCCATCTCCCTCACAAGTGCAAGGTCCCGAGTTCGATCCCCGGTACAAAAACACAAAACAAAAATAGAGTCTTTCAGAGAAGAAAGTTAAAATGAAATCCAACACTAATGTGTCCTTATAAAAAGGAGTGATCTGGGCATCAAGACACACACATAGGGACAACTCCATGTGAACATGAAGGCAGATGTGAGAAGAACAAACTAAACCCAGAGACAGGAGAAAGAAACAAATAGCAAAAATTAGACCAAACATAAAACAGAGAATAGAAATATAACAGAGTCAGTGAAACCAAAAAGCTCTTTGAGAATATCAACACAGTTGACAAACCTCTAGTTAAGAGAGGGAGAAAGGGAATATAAATAACTAATGTCAGAAATGAAAGTGCATACTTTATTACCTGCCATCAGAAAGTAAAAGATGATATTCCATTGTGGTTAAAAAAGATAGTCTATATGATTTCAATCTTATTACATATACTGAGACTCATTTTGTGGCCTAACATATGGTCAATATTGGAGAGTTTGCAATATGTACTTGTAAAGTGTAATTCTGCTATTTTGGGGTGGAAGTTACTACATCTGCTAAGTCTAGTTGGTTATACTGTTGTTCAAGACCTGAATATCCTATTGACCTCCTGTCTGTATGTTCTATTACTAGAATTGGGATACTGACATGGAATTATTTCTCCCTTTGAGTCTGCTATAAATTACTCTTGGTGGAGTAAAAATTCCTATTATCTTTAAAAGAGCCACAATATCTTTTAAAATTATATTTGTGTTCTCACTTTCAGAAAATTCTTAAAGAAACTACAGGATGGTCATAATCACAGCAAAAACTGAGTTTAAATGTGTGTCAGACTCTGTTCTAAACTCTTTAACTGCACTACTTACTTGGTAACTCTATTATTATCTCAAATTTATGACTGTTTGGACAAGTAGGTAAATATATGTGATTAAGAGTTTATGGTGCAGTGGTATTTATTATAGACCCCCCAAAAAGCAAACTACTAGATAAAACATGGCACTCAAAGTTGAAAGATAGTACTCTATCACTTAGGACTACAAAATCCTTTACTCTTCTGGATCTCAATTTCTCAAACGCAAACAATGCCTAAGATTTCTTCCAGTGTGTACGTTATGGGTCCTTTTTCTTTTCTTTTTCTTTTTTATTATTCAAAGCATCTAGAATAGTCCTGGAAACAAAGCAAACCCTGAGTGAAAAGCATCTCTGACAGATATCACTTCTCTATGCTAATCCTGCTCCACAGGGATAGGTGTATATGGAGTGATAAAAAAAAAAAAAAAAAACAGAATGTAGTTATTATGTATCACAAAAATATAAAAGAGGATGATGTTTAAATTTTAAAAATTTATTATAGTAAAAACACATTGCCATTGCCTCCCCTTAAAATGCTTCCCCTTACTTTGAAAACATTTACCCAATCATTGTGGGTTTTTTGAGACAGGGTTTTGCTCTGTAGTTCAGGCTAGCCTTGAACTTACTATATAGGTTGGCCTCGAACATGTGACCATCCTCCTGCCTCAGCCTCCCAAGTGCTGGGACTACAACTGTGTACCACCATACCCGGTTCATATAATCATTCTTGCTACTTTCTAAAGAAATTTTGGGAGTCCTCTTTTGTGACTGTCTTAAGTATAATAAAAAATTTGGTGAAGGCTGCTGCCATGTTCCATCCAATGAAAAAGCAGGCTCGTAAAAACATTATAGTATGACCTCATCAACTTTATTCACCAGATCTGGTACTATGTAACTTCTGGTTCATTCTCAAAGTCAAAATAATCATCCTTTCAAGGTAAATGTTTTGAATTGATTTAGGGAATTGAGGGAGCCACAACAATGCAATTAGACACTCACAAAAGATTTCTGAAAGTGCTTCAGAAAGTGGCAAGAATGAAGGGATAAGTGTTCAAAGCTGGTGGGGGGATATTTTGATGGAGATTAATGGCAATGTCTACCTTACTGCAATAAATTTTAAACATTTACATACATATTTTTCAATCACACCTTATATATAGACGATATATCTTTAATTTGTAAAGGTAACCAGGATTCTGAGTTCATGAACCAAAACAAATATCCAAAACAAAAATAAGAAATCAAATCTAGAGTTTACATTTCTATTTGTAGCAGAGAAGGAACACTACTTGTAGACACTTACATACAATTGTCAGAGGAACAGTAAGTTGTTTCTAACTCTCATGATTCATTTATTGATTTAACACACATATTAAGCAAGTATTAAATATCTTGCCTAGAACCAGGGCCAGGTTAATAGCATATCTATCTGTGTTTTCAATAAGCAATGTTACAGTTTAGGTGGGGAGATAGTGCGAATAAGTCATTAATAACAGTTATGCCACAGTTCATTAACAAATTCTGAAGCAGCACATGAGCACCTGGAGTTCATGAGATATTATTCAACTTGATTCTGAAATTTTCTTTAACCCATGTAATACTATTACTATACGATTACTGTACTCTTGTGATGTATCAGCTTGTAAGTGTGTATTATGTACTCCTGACATGAAATAGGATTTTATGGATGAGAAAATTAGAGGATAAAGAGAGTGTCTGTTTCAGGGTTACACATCTAGTAATTGGTAAAACTAAAAGTTAAAACTAAGCAGTCTGACTTGAGAATTTTCATTGCAAAGCAACTTCTGCTGAAATGTATTAGCCTGTGCCTATTATCATCTCATCCCAACTAACACAAATGTCTGCAAAGCTGAGCCTCTCTAAAGTCATTTATAAGACAGATTGGAGAGGGGAAAACACATCTATCACAGCTCATATGGAGATTACCAGTACATGTTATTCAGGCAGTAGATTCCTACTCCTCACTAAACATAGCATTCTCTTTTTTTCAGCATGACTACGAAAATCTATACCAGCTTCCTACTGGTGAATGAGAACATATGAGGTTTGAAAGATAGCTTCTTTTCATTCTACGCCATAAAGTACATAAGATAACATACCTGTCAAACCTAAAAAGAAGAAAATTAAGAGTAATATGAAATTATAAATATGAAATAAAAGTGTACCTTCAGTCCTTCCAATTCATTTTCCAGTTGCTTAGAATAATACTCGCTCTGCTCACGCAGTTTCCTGTCTTTAGATGCTTCAGCGACTAGAGCTTCAGTATGAACTTCCAACTTTAAAATGAAAAAACAAAAAGATTTCGCAGTTATAATTTTTTCAAACAAAACATTTTCCCCATGGGAATTTACATTTTAACAGGAAAATAATTTAAATTGAAATTCATATTATTAAACTGTAAAAAGAATTGTTTTCAAAAATTAAAGAATGAAATATGTATTATTTCACTAGTCTCAAAAGCAACTTTAATCACTACCAAATGAGCACTACAAAATTTGCCTGACTACTAACCTCTTTTTTGGCTCTTTCTGTTCTGCGCAGTTCTTGCCTTAAGCTTTCAACTTTTTGCATCACCAGGTCCACCTCTTCTTCCTTATCTCGGACATGGCGAGCAAGTTTCTGTTTTTGGGTGTGCAATTCTGTTAGTCGCTCATTGATCTCCATGAATTCCTGCATGGCCAGTTTCCTCTGACAGTGTGCGTCTTTCAGCTCTTTGGATTGGTTTTTTAATCGCTCACTAGCCTGGACTAGTTCCTAGTTTTGTAAAAAGAATATAAGTTACCAAGTCTGAAACCTAAAGACCAAATCTGGTCTTCAAAGTTGCTATTTTTAAGTCAAGAAGTGTCAAAATTATTCACCTCAGGACAAAATTAAAGGAAATAAGCTACTTGTGAACAGATAATAAGGGCATGGTGTCCTGTTTATATTCTCAATGTCTATGCTAACATTATAAATTCAAGAGAACATCTGTTTTAACTGGGTTTCCACAACTGATTAGAGAGTATAGGTTTAAATATAAGATATGATGGCTAAAACATTTCGTGAAATTTAATAAATACATTTGAGATTTTTAAAAAAATATACTGAAATTCAAAATAATAATAACAATAACAACAAAAAAACCCATAAAGGCTGCTTTTAATGTGGAGAATAAGTACCAAGGAGGTAAAAAAGGAGACTCCCTGATTCAAAGGGCCACGGAAGACTAGGATCAGTGCAACTGCCTGCTTCCTAACCGAAAAAACAAACAAACAAACAAACATAAAAAGATCTTGGGAGGGAAGAATCTCAACAAAATTTGGTTTTTTTCACACATTGAAGCAAATAAATATGAGCTCACAGAAGCAGATCCCCAAATGCCTAGAGAATGAACCACCATAATGAAATGGAAACAATAAACAAAACAACTAGCAAAGGTATTTGGGCAATCAAATGATCAAATACCAACTTAAGATTGCTATGTGTAAAATATCTTAAGTAATAAAACAAGAAACTATAAAAATGGGAAAATAAAAGATTAAAAATGACCAAGCACATTTATAAATGAATTCTATGGAACATTTAGAAATTTAAAAATTGTTCCAAATAAAAACATGAATCTACCGATATAGAAAGCTTTGTATTTATGAAGAAATAGAAACTCAAAACCAGAAATGTTCAAAAAATAAAAGTAGATAATGCCAGAGAAATAAAATACTCTAAAGAATTTAGAAGAGGGGGAAAAAGGACAGCTCTTCTACTTAAAAAAAAAAAAAGATTCAATTTAGAACAAGCATAAATAATAAAAACAGTGGAAAATTACCTTCCAATTACTAGGTTTCACATAAAAACTGGCAGAGTTTACTACAATCACATCTGCACTAAAGAGACTTCTACAGCTTTATATCAGCAAAAAGAACATTGCTTTTATAAGAAAGGTCTACTGCAAGACTTTAAAAGGTTGAGACACTGGTAGACATGAATGTGAACATGAAGAAATGTGTATACATGACTGTTAGAAAAATGTCTAATTTGTACAGTAGAAGCATATAACTATTAAAATATTTGTCAAAAACAGCACATAAATTGGTAAGAGGTAACAGAATTAAAAACCTTTGAACTGTTTGGGGGGAACAGTTTAAGATATTAAATTTACATTTTGTTAATATATAGAAAACAGCTAGATATGTACCAAATATATACCAAAAAGCTAGAAAGAAAAATCTGAACAAGGAAACAAAAACTTCAGTGCTTTTTAAAATAAAAAGAATTGTGGAGATTGGCTATAAACAATATGCCGGTACTTAACACTGCTAAACTCAGCATTTCAAAATGGTTACGATTGCAAATATTATATGAATTTATCACAATTAAAACTTTTAAAAAAGGAAGCAGAAAATGATGCATTAATAAAGTATGAAAAACCAAAAGCAAAAAGAAAAGCAGAAATATGTCTTTCTCTCTCTATATATATTAGTGACCAAAAGAAATAGAAAAGGTCTAAACTCACCAGTTAAAGGCAGTTTGTTACACCAGATTAAGTTACAAAATCTAGACCTTAGTACAAAATGCATTATCAGGGATAGGGAATATCACCACACAATTATAAAATACAATATATAGAAAGAAATAGCATTCTATAAATAGCATTTAGTGCATTCTATAAGAGTCTAAAATATATTAAAATTAGTAGGGCTTCAGAGAAAAATGGTAAATATATCACAATGATGAGAAAGTTCGACTTCTTAACCATTAATATATAAACTGAGTAAATGGTGCAAAGATATGAAAACTTCTATCAATAAGATTCATATGTATAGAAGCTGATGCTCTGTATTGGAAACATATACTCTTCAAGAACTCACTATGAATATTTAACGGCACAATCCAGAACATAAAGCAAGTCTCAGTAGCTTTCAAAGAATGGACATATAAATCAAATTCTTTATTAATATTGCTACTAAATTATAAATCATCAATACAACATATAACTCCAAACACTGAAATTTTAAAACTTATAAATAAATCACTGATCAATTATAAAAAAAATCAAAAAGAATATTAAAATATTTAAAATTAAGAAAAATAAAAATCCAAAAGTGTTTACTACACAAAAAATCCTGGTGATACAATAAAGCCACATTTAGGAGCAAACTCATAGCCTGAAACAACAACACAATTATCTTCTCTCCTAATAGGAGAAAGAAGAGAATAAATCAATGAAACAGAAATAAAAGAACAACAAGGATCAACATCAAAATTTGATTATTTTGAGAAAAATAGTAAAACAGACATCTGGTAAAATCAATCAAGGGAACAAGCATACAGGCACAAAGAAATAATACTAGGAAAGAAAAAAAGAGGCTATAAGTAAAAATCTAGAAGAGATAAAATGATAAGAAGATGAAGAGCTCCGTGTCAAGAAATTTAGCATATAAATAGAAAAAAAATTATTAAAACAATTTTCAGCAACAGAATACCTAAAGAGCCCTATAACAAAGTAAAAGAACCAACAGTTAACAAAATTTTCCCATCCTCCCAGTACTGGGGCAGAACTTCCAGGTCAGATGACTATGGCTATAGTGGTGACTCCAGTAATATAATCATTTTATACAACTTCTTCAAGAGATAAAAACAAAAGAGGTAATGCTACTGCACTCACTCTATAAGACCAAAATAATCTTAATATTAAAAATTTCAAGAAAGACCAAGTGAAAAAATTTTAAATCAGTCTCATTCATGAAAGGAGAGGTGAAAATCCTTTAAAATAGGCAAATCCATTCTACTGATGTACAAAGTTGATATGTACAAATTCTGGAACTAGAAACTTTCTATAGAAATTCTACCTCCACCTCCTTGTCTCTCTACTGACTTTGAGCACATTACCTTCTTAGTGCTCAGTCCCACCATTAGTAAATGAGATTAATAAAAGTGAAATAACTTCATACTGCCTTAATCTTGTATTACCTATTTGACCTAACTCAATTTCTACCCCTGTCCTAATCTTACTTATCTTTGGAACAGAACGCCTATTAGCCAGAAGTTCCTCCTCAGGTGTGTTAACTGAAAATAACTAGGTCTAAAATGACTCAGTAAGTGAAGGCCAGACAACCTCTAATTCATTACAATCTACCTGCATACTAAATAACACATTTACCAGAACAACGGCAACTGTCATGACAATGATCACCGAGAACCAAAGGAGAAGAAAGAAGTGGCACCCAATTCCTCAGAAAAGATAGGACTGTTCCTTCTTTATTAATCTATCCCTCCCCCTCATTTCTTTTACCTTTCTTGAGAAATGAGACATTGATTTCTATTTCCCACTTCTCCTATTCTTAGCCAAGAATAAAAGCTTCCTGTGTTGCTCAATAGATGCTTAGTATGATAATGGTTCCATAATTTCCAAAAAGAGAAAAATGACCCAATTTGGGGTAAAAATAATAACTAACTCATAGGGTTGTGATGATTAAATCATCTACTACATGTTAAGCACTTTATATTACAGTAGGAAAGTGCTTTTAGAACAGATAATCAGCCACGTAAGTGTTGCCTATACTATCATATTATTATTTAGAAAATAATACATTGCAATTTAAGCTTAACACAGAAATGTAACAATGGCTTAATATTAGAAAAACTGTAAATGTAGTGAAACGCATAAAGGAGAATCAAAATCATATCAATAAAGTCTGTAAATGCAATTTATTCATTCTTAAAAAAGATTACTAAAATAGAAATAGTAACTTCTTTACTCAGTTAAAAAGTGTTTACTAAAAACTAGCAGCAAACATTAGTGGTGAAGTATCAGAGGTATTTAAAAAAAAAACCTGGCCCAGTAATAAATGTAACTGTACTGTATACCTAGAATGTACCAATAAACTCAATAAAAAGAAAAAAAAAAAAACCACCTGGAACAAGGATGCTGGCTACTGCTATTTCTATTCAAAACCGTACTGAAATCTTAGTTAATGAAGCAAGTTTAATAGATACGTTATAAAAATCCAAAAAGAAGAAACAAATTTGTTATTATTTACAGAAAATTTCAAAGAACCTAAAATATAGTTCATTAAGAGTTTAGGAATATTGTCAAAACAAAATAAATACAGAAAAATCAAAAGGAAAACAAAATTTAAAATTAAAATGTGAAAAAAGATAGAACAATAAATTTAAAGGCAAAGACGACCTGTATGAAATTTTAGAGAAGACAATTTTAAATAACTTTAAACATATGGAAACACATTATATTTATAGATTAAAAAGCTATGGAGCTTCAGAGAAACTATTTTTATGTGTTTGCATAATTAGCCCTTCTGAATAAATCTTACTGACACTTGAGACCTGGTAAAGGCAAGTCATTAGTTATTGACTAATTTTGATAGTGAGAAAACTCTAGGAGATTTATCTTCTGGAGGTAATTTCAAGATGATGCAAGAGGTAGCCTGTATCCCAGAGACTTCCTCTTTGTGAAGCCCTTTACATTTACATTCCAAAGGCTTAAGAATAAGAACCCAAGATATCTCTTTAGACTTCCAAGGAAGATTCTCAAAATGGCTGAGAGACAGAGGAAGCATCTGCCTTTTTCCTCTGTAAAACTCTGGGACAAATGTTTTTGGGGTTCCTCCTCACAATACAGACTCCTTCCTCAAGGGTGGCATTTTATCCAGCCATGTCTCAGGGCATTGCCTCGGGGCTCAAAACTGGCATGCAGGGGAGTGATGTGGTTATGGAGGTACGAGAAATAAAGATTGGTAGAAAGGAGACAAGGAAAAATCATAAATTTTTAAATTCTACTTTTGAGGAGACTGCAACTTCTGGGATGCAAAGTTACCCAAGGTTAATTTATACTTTGTTCCTTCCAGATCCATTACTCTCAAAATTCCTTAAGGATACTATGTAAGTTCATAAATTAGTTTAGGGAAAGTAAAAATGGGGAAGCTGATCTTAAGATAAATGAACAGGTTGAGAGACTTCAAAGAATTCTTACATTATCTGTCTTTTAAAAAAATGGGCTCCTCTGGGCTGGAGATTTAGCTTAGCTCCTGCCTCACAAGCACAAGGACCTAAGTTCAATCCATGGTACCAAAACAAAACAAAAAATGGGCTCCTACCTTTTACCTATAAAATGGACCACTATCCTTCTGGGAAATTGACTATCTTTTCCAAAGTTTCTACCCACTCAGGAGAAACATAAATGTTTCCAGTTCCAAAAGATAGTGCCTGTCTCTCTTAAGGACCCACACTATCTACTTCTGTGTATATTTTAAAAATTCTGCCTAACACATCCCTTTACATCCCTTACTGACACATCTTGAAAATTTTTCTCTGTGATGGAAATCAGTGAACTTGAGACTTCTTCTATGGGTAGGGTGGGTTTAGCTTTCTAATCTTTGGGAACCTCCTCAGACCCTAATAGTTATTATTTGCTGTATGTAAATAATAAACATAATAAATAATAATCTGCTCTGCTTTTGAAATTTGTGTGCATTCAGAATATTAATATTGGAAGGAATTTGACTCAACATTGTAATGATGTCAATTCTCCTAAAATTGATCATTAGATTCAATTGTATTTTACTTTATTTTATATTTTTGGGTACCAGGGATTGAATTCGGACCCTGTGCTTTCTAGGCAGGCAGGGGAACAACTGAGTCAAATCCCCCGCCCAATGCAATTTTAATCAGAATTCTCACAGTTTTCAAGGAACTGAGATACAGACCCATGCATATATGGAATATGATATACGACTGAAGTGACACTGCACAACCCTGGAGAAAGGACAGCCTATTTGGTAAATGAACAATTGGTGAGCCATACGGAAAAAAGTAAAAGTGAATCCTTATCTCACATTGAGACAGTTGAGACCTTAAGTAGAGTTTCCTATAAGGGCTCTGACTCTTCTTCCCTTGGACCTACAGATGCAACATGAGTAACTAAAAGCAGATAAAACCTGCTATCTCTGCCTTAATTTTGTATTTGTCTCCTTTATTACCTTGGACTTTGTGAAACTTTTGCTCAGCTCTGCACACAGGCATATTAATCATTTAAGAAATGTCTATCTAGTTTGATCCCTGGTACCGCGCCCCCCAAAATCTAAAAACTCGTTTATTAGCCCTATATTTACCTACTGCTATAACTTACCTCTAGATGTTCCTTCAAAACCTCATCGACTGATAGGTGGGGTTTTGGGAAAGTGATTACATTATGGAAGTGATACTGGATCGGTCCACTGATGGGTTCAGAGCTGGGAGTGGTACTGGGAGGTGAAGCCTGATGGAAGAGGTGGGCACGATCTGGTGTACGCTTCGTACTCCCTTGATACCACTCTGCTTTTTGCCGACATGCCACGAACTGTTTCTCCTCTGCCATGCCACCCTGCTTTTGAGCCTGTCAACTATGGACTGAAATTTCTACAAACTCCCAGCCAAAATAAACCTCTCCTCCTTTAACTTACAGGTGTTGGGTATTCTGTCCAAGCAATGAGAGAGTAATCAAGACACTTACGCTATCCCACCCTGTTCAACATTGAGGACACCAAGGAAGAGTATTCAAGATCTGCAAGAACATTCAACTGTCAATTTTTACAGCACTCTTTTCCAGGCTCTCTAGACTGGAACCTAGAAGTCTCCAGTCATTACTCTAAACCTGCATCGCCTTGATTCCAAGGGAATCTGTGCAGACAGATCACCCCATGATGAGATCACTTCTACAAACAGAACAACCTGCCAAGTGGGAACAAGTAGAACTGAAGCTGCCCCTAAATAAGATCAATCGTCTCAAAAGAACCAAATTGCCTCTTAAGCAATAAAAACTTCTCTGGCCACACACAAGCCTGTAACACCAGTTCTGAGGGAGGCCTAAGCAAAAGGATCACAAGTTTCTGGGCAACTTGGGGGGAACCTATCTCAAAATAAAAAAGTATAGAGATGTAGCTCAGCATTCCCTGGGTTCAATCCCCAGTACTACCAAAGAGAAGATATAAATATGAAAAACCAAACAAAAAATTAAAGACAAAATTTTAGAGAAAAAACATTTTTGCCTCACATTTCTTATACTGTGTAAATCAGAAAATGTACTAATAATAAAAATACTGAGAGATTTGACTACATAAAATCCACAAGCTTTTGTTAATCAAAAATAAAAGAAAATAGAAGGACAAGCCACTGACAAGGATCTTTATATAACTGACCAATGCTTAGTATGACCAGAAATTGTCAAGAATTGTTACATAACTATAAGAAAAAACTGGAGAAAAATTTTTACAAAGGATATTAAAAGGCATTTTGTAAAAGAAGTATAAATAAATGATGGCTAGACATATATAAAGACACCTGACCACAGTAATAATTAGAAAAGTGAAAATTAAGGCCAATATGAAACATTTTAAATCTAAAAATCTCAATTTCGACTAGGCTGGCCAAAAGTAACAAAGGAAGGTACAGTCACTGGCCTAGCTAGTCCTTTTGGTTCCTCAGCATTGATGGCTATCTATAAGCGACACAGAATCAGTCCAGAGATAATAAACAACCAGACCACAACCTGACCAAGACTGCCTAAATGGCTAGATATGCAAACCCCCAGCCCTTGGCCTTTGTTTCCCTTCTCTATAAAACTCTGACATTCCCATTGACCCCTTGAAGATAGATCTTGAACCTCTTTATATTTTATTCTCTGGGAGCCTGTGCTAATTAAGACTCCTTTCTTCCCACTTCACCACTGCTTGTCTCTATTGGCATACAGGAATGAGTGACTAAGCCTGGTATGTTGGGACCACCAGAGATAGGGCTTCTACCCTAAAATTCTGGAAACAGTAAAATGTAAATCTGGTAGTATGAAAAACTGCTGAACACAGAATGGATACTGTTCCCAGGAAGACACAAAACTAACTGGTTAATGGGTGTATGGAAAGGTGTTCAACATCACTAACCAGAAATCAAAAGCAAAATCACAATAAAATACCACTCCACAACTGTTAGAATAGCTATTATCAGACAAAAGACAAAAATATTGGCAAGGATATGGACAAAATGAAATTCCTTTTTACTACTTAAAATTCTTTATTGGTATAATGTTTCTTTTCAGTATCACCCTCTTTGCAGATTATACTAAGGAATTTTTAGTATTACAATTTATTAAGAACTGCCAAAATACATGTTACTACAAATCTAAAATCAGATTTTTATCCTATGTTAATTAAATTTGACTAAGTATATACTATAAATACAAACTAGTAAACCACTAATATTATTAAATTATTATTAAAGCAAATAGAACATGCATTATATATTCCAAATATTATTAAACTGGTCATGTTTAGATGTTTACAAATCATTTTTTGAAAATGCAGTGGGAAGAAAGTTAAAATGTATTTATCTGGCTCAATATAATCTTTAACAACTTTATCTATTAGTCCTTTTGATTAATTTTATTTATTTGCTTGTTTGCTTGCAGTACTAGGGATTGAACCTAGGCCTCCACTCTGAATTGCATCCCCAGCTCTTTTTAATTCTGAGACAAGGTCTTGTGAAGTCACTAAACTGCTCAGGCTGGATTCAAACTTGCAATCATATCTCAGCCTCAGATTGCTGGAATTATAGATGTGGGCTACCATCTCTAATCAGTTGTCTATTTTTAATTCCCTTTATTTCCTTACTGGTAGCAAGACTTACAAATTTTTCCCAGAAGGACGTAACTCTTATCAATCATGGCATCATATCTTATATTACTGAATGCAAATTCACACTATGCCATAAACAACTAATCTCTTGTGTACAATGGCTAAAATTAGTCAAAGCCATAGTACTTAACAAAATATAGTTTAAGTATTTTCTCTACTGCTTTAACATTTACTCTACTGGGCTGTGTTTCAAAGTCTTAGCTATCAATAAATTCTGTTGATGTTTCTAGCACTATTTAAAATACTGTTTAAGTATTTATACAAAGTTCTTATAAAAATGACTTTGGTTTGTGCATCCATGGTGTTTCAAAAAAGAAAAGTGACATTTAAAAAAATCACTGAAGTGATTTTAAATTATAGTCTTTAAAATATGTTCTTTTTAGTAATAATTATACTGAAAATTATGCCTTCATTTTTTTTCTGTAGACACTAAACATTCTATCAATTTCTTCAAATTGCCTTTTCTAATAACACTCACTTTTGTTTTGGTACTGGGGATCGAACTCAGGGCCTTGTACTTGTAGGCAGGCAGTGGAACCACTGAGCTAAATCCCTGGCCCAGTAACATTCACTTTTAATTAAGACTTCTGATTAAATTTCCAAATGAATGAAAGATTTTGAATTTTCAAGCCTCAAAGATACAAAAGTTTCTTCACTATTACCTAATGATCAAATTATATACACCAAAACAATTCTTGAACTTTTAAGCCAACTTAAAAAAAAATACTACATTGTTCTCATTGGTTATAAATGCTTTCATTATTCAAATTATGCAAGATATAGCAAATAGGAAGACTTTCGTAATCAATTCATATATTTTTACCTTATTTAGTTCTTCCCTTTCTTGTTGTAAAGTTTTGATTTGTTTTTCATAAGCCTTGACTTGTCTAAAAGCATCCTCTAATTCTCGTCTCACAGAAGTGGCTTCTTCAAGTTGCTGTTCCAAATGACTTGATTCTAAAAACAAAAGAAAATGTTTGCTTTACCTTTATATAAAAGCAAATGCTTGAACATGGTATAAAACAACTAAAAGAATTTTCTTTCTAAAGAAGCACTATGAATTTGGTATTAGGTCTACTGACACTAAATATTAGTAGGATTCATGACAAATCAACACACTATACATTCATTGTAAAGATGGTGAATGGCATATGCTAACAAATACATGTGCAAACTTTATGTGCAGAAATGCCTTACATTATCTACTAGGAAAAAACCCCATAACTTCCAAAAAGAACACCTTCAGACCAATTAAACACTTACAACAAAATACAACAAAGCCAAACAACCCCCCAAAAATTTTATGTCCACTATTGTTAAGTGTCATAATGCTGATGCTACTCCACTATTATTAAATTGTTTTGCTTCTAACACTGTGGCTCCAGATTATCTAACTTAATTTGACCACTGGTTATGTGGGGGAAAAAAACCCTCACATTTCTAAAATTAAAAACTGAAAACCTTCTACTTCAACCAGTTCTTCCAGTTTTTGAGATAAAGTTGGAAAATTGAATAACTTGCTCAATTAAGGTCACATTGTTAAAGGCATACCACAAGAAAGACCAAAGTGCAAAAAATTTTGTACTGACTTCTCCAATTTGGAAAGCAACATATTAAATAATGTTTAATATTACTGGATTACAAAGTTTATTATGAAATAAAACAAAACATTAATTTTCACAGATGCTTAAATAAAATAGACTAATAGGAAATAGTAAAAAGTAAACTAGCAAATTAAAGAACTAAAGTTGATCAACATGTGATATTCATATGTACCAATTCCCCACAATGAATGTATCTAGTTTCTCACTCACAGACATATACTAATAAAAATTTTAAAAAGAAGGAACTGAAGCCAGGGAAAACAGTAAATACAAGTGAAACATATGCATTATTAATTTTGTTTAGGATATTTTCTGTTCTTTATGAATTTATTACTGTTAAGTATAATCCTCCAATAGCAGCATCAAACCCTCTAGGAATACACATATGCAGAGTCTCCAGTTCCACTCAGACATAATGAAGTGGAATTAAAGAAGCTACTCAGGTGATTCCTATGTACAATAAAGTGAGGGGAACAAATTCACACAGTGTTACATATTGACTTTAATGTTTTCAGTAAAAAAAGTGTGGGTTCATTTGCTTAGCTAAGTCCTCTAATTTAAAAATCATTCATATGCATTAGTGTATCATGCACTAAATGATCCTACATTCCATAAGCAAAGTAGTTTACAAGCTTATTACGTTTTTGCTATTTTGAAAATCCATCTATGGATAACACAGCATTCAACTTTTTGCGTGTTTTTTTATTTTAATGTACTAATTTTATTGGTACATTTAGGTATACAATATGCTGACATTCATTACTAGGAATTTGTAACTTTACATAATATATTTTGGGTTTTATTTTTTTCCCCATTTCCCTGCCCTGCCTTCAAACACTCAATCCCTCCCTATTTACAAATACTTTGTTTCTATTTTTGTCCTTTTCTCATATTTATTCATTTGACTTCTTTTCTTTCCCCATTCCCTACAACTTCCCCTTCCCCTTTGTATCTTTTCTTTCTATCTCACATTATCTATTATACATTTTGATCCTTGTTTACATTTTCAGTTTCTCACACTAGAGAAACTATTCAGTATTTACACGTGTGTCCTACTTATTTCACCTAAGAGTATGGCCTCAATGTGCAACCATTCAGCTATAAATGTCTCTAGTTTCTCATTCTATATGGCTGAGTAATACTCCATTTCATTTAAAAAACACATTTTCTTTATCCAGTCTGCAGCTGATGAGCAACTGGGCTGTTTTCAACTTTCAGCTACTACAAACTGTGCTGCTATGAGCATGAATATATATTGCTGTGGTATGATTCTTTTAATTCTTTTGGGAAGATACCCAATAGGGGAATAGCTGGGTCAAATGGAACCTCTAATCCTAGTTTTCTGAGGTATCTCCATACTGACTTCCATAGGTTTCACCAGTCCACACTCCCACAAACAGTGGAAAGGGTTGCTTTTGCTCCACAACTCCGTCAGCATTTGTTATTGGTTGATTTCATGATAGCAGCCATTCTTTTCTGGGGTGAGGTGGAATCTCATTGTTCTCATTTGCATCTCTCAAATGACCAGTGATGTTAAACATTTTTTCATATGTTTATTTGCTATTTCTACTTTGTCTGACAAATGTCTGTTCATTTCAGTTGCCTGCCCGTTTTTGGATTGGGTCTTTAAATATTGGGAGGTATGATTTTTTAAATTTATTTATATATTCTAGATAGTAGACTGTTGTCTGAAGAACAGCTGGTAAAATTTTTTCCCACATTGTGGGATGTCTCATCATGCTGTTGGCGGTTTCTCTTGCTGTGCAGAAGCTTTTAAATAAGAAAAGACCCCACTTATTTATTTTTTATGCTATTTCCTGTGCAACTGAGGTTTTGTTCATGAAATCTTTTCCTATGCCAAGGTCTTCAAAAATTCTACCTAACTTCTCCTCCAGCTGGTTTAGTGTTTTTCTTTTAATATTTAGATTTTAATCCATTTCAATTTTAGTTTAGTGCATGGTAAGAGATATAGTTCTAGTTTTAATCTCTGCCAAGTTGAAACCCAGTTTTTCCAGCACCATTTATTAAAGAGGCTATCATTCCTGCAGTGAGGGTATTTGGTTCCTTTGTCAAAGATGAGGTGGCTGAGTATGTCTAGAGTTGTTTCTGCATCTTTTAATGGTTCCAAAGATCCTTAGGTATGTTTCTTTGCCAGTGCCATGCTGTTTTTATCACAGTAGCTTTGTAGTATAGTTTGGATTTGGGGATTGTAATCTCCCCTCCTCCCCATTTTATCTTTGTTGCCCAGGATTGCTTTTGCTATTCTAGGTCTCTTCTTTTTCCAAATGAATTTTTGGATTATTTTCTCAAGTTATGTGAAGTATGCTGTTGGAATTTCAATTGGAGTTTAATGAATCTATATAGCCCTAAGTATGGTCATTTTCACTATACTCGTTCCTCCTACCCAGAAGGAAGAGATATCTTTCCATTTTCTGATATTCTCTTTGACCTCTTTTTTCAGAGTGCTGTAGTTTTCAGAGTAGAAGTATTTGATTTCTTTTGTTAGTCCGATTCCTAGATATTTCATTTTTTTTTTTGGATGCTATTCTGAAAAGAGTTGTTTTTCCAGGTTCTCTCTCCCAGTGAGTCTGTTGTGTACAGGAATGCTATTGATTACTGTGTGTTGACCTTGTATCAAGCTACTCTATTGAATCTGGTTATTAAGTCTAGACTCTTGGAATTCTTGGGGTCTTCTACATAAAGCATCATGTCATCTGCAAATAACAACAATTTAACTTCTTCATTTCTTTCTTTCTTTTTTTTTGGTACTGGGGATTGAACTCAGGTCCTTGCACTTGTGAGGCAGGCATTGTGGCAATGAGCTAAATCCCCAGCCCCAAATTCTTCAATTCTTATCTTACTCCTTTTATTCCTTTCTCTTGTCTAATTGCTGTGGCTAACATTTCCAAAACTATATTGAATAGGACTGATGATAATGGACATTCTTGTCTTGTTCCTGATTTTAGTGTGAAGGATTTCAGTTTTGATCATTTAGTATGATACTGGCTGTTGGTTGTTCATAAATGGCTTTTATCAGATTGAGGTAGAGACCATCTATTTTGATTCTTTGTAGGTTTTTCAAAAAATCACGAATGGGTGTTGGATTTTATCGAACACTTTTTCCTCATCTATTGAGATGATCATATGGTTTCAGTCTTGGCTCTATTAATATAGCGTATTACGTTTACTGATTTGCATATGTTGAAACATCCCTGCATCCCTGGGATGAATCCTACTTGGTCAGGGTATATGATCTTCTTGATGATTTTCTGCAGTTTGTTTGCCAGTATCTTATTGAGGATTTTTGCATTTATGTTAATAAGGAAGATTGGCCTATAGTTCTCTTTCTCGGTTGGGTCTTTCTCTGCTTTTGGTATCAAGGTGATGCTTGCTTCCAGGAATGAATTTGGGAGTACTGCTTCCCTTTCAATTTCACTGAAGAGTTTAAACAGCAGTGGCAAGAGTCTCTCTAAATATCTTGTAGAATTCAGCAGTAAACCCATCAGGTCTGGGGCTTTTCCTAGTTGGTAAGTTTTTAATTATGTTTTCAATTTCATTGACATTGGGTCATCTTCATTCAACTTTGGTAATTCACACATATCTAGAGATCTGTTTTTTCTATGTTTTCCATCTTATTGATGTACAGGTTCTCAAAGTAGGTACTGATGATACTCTGGATTTCTACTGGATCCACTGTAATTTCACCCTTTTCATTCCTAATTGCATGGAGTTGGGTCTCTCTTTCCCTTTTTTGATAAGATTGCTAAGGACTTGTCATTTTGTTTATTCTTTCAAAGAACCAACTCTTTGCTTCACTGATTTTTTTTATATCTTTCTCTTAGTCTCCATTGCATTGATTTCTGCAAATCTCTGCAATTTCCTTCCTTGTATGAGCTTTGGGTTTGTCTTCCTTTTCTTTTTCTAGAAGCTTGAGGTTCAACACTAGGTTGGTTATTTGAATTTGCTCCATTTTCCTAATATGAGCATTCACAGATATGAATTCGGATTTTAAGACTGCTTTCATTGTGTCCCATAGATTCTGATGTTTTATTGTCATTGTCATTTAATTGTAGAAAATCTCTGCTTTCTTCTTTAATTTCCTCTGTGATCCACTGATGGTTCAGAAGTGTGTAGTTCAATTTCCATGTCTTTATGAAATTCTTGTGTTTTCTTTTGCTATTGATCTCCATTTTTACTGCACTATGGTCTGATAATATATGAGTGATAACTTCAATTCCTTTACACTTAAACATGTTTTATGAGTATTTGGTCTATTTTGGAGAATGACCCATGTGCAGCCAAAAAGAATGTGCAATCTGATTTTCTGGGCTGGAACACTGTGTAAACAATTAT